GGGTGGCAGAGTGGGGGGGGGGAGCGGAGACTGTGCCCCTTCTACTCAGGCTGCCCCGAGTCGCGGTGTCTACCCAGCCCCACAAGACCTTTCAAAAGCACGAGTCCAGCCTCCTAAGCAGCTGAACTCTGATCGCTTGCTATTGCTCCTAGAATAAAACCTGAGTCCTGACTTGGCCTTGGGCCCGACAGGGCTACGTGCCCGCTGTCTGTCTGTGTCCCTGCCTCTGTCCCCTCCATTCAAGAGCTCAGTCACACTGGCCTTCTCTGTTCTTTGAACGTTCCATACGCNCCTTCTCTGTTCTTCGAACGTTCCGTACGCATTCTCACCCTGGGGCCCCCTGTTTGTTCATCTGTCCAGAAGGCTCCCCCTGAGACTGTCACATGATGCCTTTGGACACTGCTCAAGTGTCATCTCCTCACAAAGGCCACTCCACATCTCCTCACTGAAAGCTCTGTGCCCTCAACACCATCACGCTCTCTCTACCCTGTGTTCCTCTTTTTATCACTCTCAGAAATGACCTTACAGGGTTAGTGTTTGTGTGCCCCCTCCCCCAGGGAAGCTTCCTGACAGCAGGGCCATTGGTTATCTTTATGGCTTATTTCCCAAACTCCTAAAGCGATGCCTGCAATAATAAGGGCTCAATGAATAGGACAGAGTGGATGTTAATATAGATAAAAGTAGCAAAGTAGGGTTATAATCAGGCGCTGCCTACCTGGGGGACTCACGGTCTCCCCGGGGTGGGATTTTAAGTCTGACAATGCTGCAAAGGGCACCTTGGACAAGCGATGACAAAGGCAACCAAGATTTGAAAAGAGCCTCGGTCCCTGCCCTTCCTGGGGCTTTGCACCTGCTGTCCGTTTCAGTCCTCCCAACACCCCTATCTGGAAGGGGTTCTTCTTGCTTTACAGATGAGGAGACAGAGGTTCAGAGTGCTTAAGCTCCCTATCCAAGAGCTAGTACGAGGTGGCTCAGGGATTTGAATCAGGTTTGCTGATTTCAAAGCTTGTTCTACTCCAAGGTAAACTGCAAAATTTGGGCAGATCTCCAAACATTAATAAAACATATAAATGCATTCATGAGAAATGTATTTACCCTATTCCCTGCCCACGTGCCGTTCCAACAACTCTTTTTGGGTAACCAGTTCCCAAAGTATAGTACCCATTTTGCAAATGATTAAAAAAATTTTTTTCTCTCTTTTCAAGTTTTAAGGGTGAGGGGTGAGCTTTTCTTTGGGCATTTCATTCTATGCTACCTTGAATTTTTATTTGCCTATTTGTCAATTAGCTTATTGGCTTTCCTGTCTAAATTTATTTAGATTTTTAAACGAGTGCTTAAACTCAAATATCCACATGCACCCACAGCCCAGTGATTTTAGAAACCTTCATCCTTCCAGGNCAAATGAGTGCTTAAACTCAAATATCCACATGCACCCACAGCCCAGTGATTTTAGAAACCTTCATCCTTCCAGGCTGAGGAATCCCAATCTTTGCAGTTTGTTTTCGTAAAGCAGGTCCTCTCCCCATAGGTCATTTTAGTTCACTTCCTCTGCACCATCTCCTACCCTAGCGCAACTGCTTAAGGTGTGTTGAAAAAATTGCTCACGATATTCCAGGTATAAGTGAGCCATGGCTTTGCATTTGAGCAGGATACTATTTTCTGCTTTAATCCCCTTTAACTTTTTTATTATTTTTTAATTCTCACCCTAGGATCTTTTTTCCATTGCTTTTCAGAGAGAGTGGAAGAGAGAGAGAGAAAGAAGCATCAATGTGAGAGAGACACATCAATTGGTTGCCTCCTGCATGCCCCCCCCCCGGCTGGGGTAGGAGATCAAGACTGCAACCGAGGTATGTGCCCCTGGCTGGAATCAAACCCAGGACCCTTCAGTCTGAAGGCCAGCGCTCTAATTACTGAGCCCAAACGGGCCAGGGCATTAATCCGCTTTTAAATGCCCTTTTTAAGCACATCTGATTTCTGGCTGGCCTTTTAGCTGCAGTGGGGATCACGAGAGACACACACAGACACTGATCGTAAAATCTCTTAATTTTGTTATAGTTGATAGTTCAAAGCCCTTTGATCTTGGAAAGATGCTTTGAATTATTTCTCCCTAAATTCCTTATCTTACAGTTGTCCCCACAGAAGCCCATCTGTCATCCCTTTGCCCACTCACAAAGCCCCGTGTACTCTCTGCATCAATATTAGTCAGCGTGGCATTTCACTACCTGGAGGAGCTTGGCAGTTTCTGCAAATCTGGAATTTGACCATAAACTCCTTCTTTCAGATGATTTACAAATATGCTAACTAAGTGTGGCCCTGCTGCTGCTTATTTGCAGGCGACACTGTTTATATGATCCAGAGAAACGCTTTTACATTTTTGCGTGTTTTTTTTTAAAGCATTAAGATCAAAGAATTCTCCCATTTCAGAAAAACACATTACCCTTTTGAAATGTATTTTGTAAGCCTAAAAACACTATATTTTCTTGATCCCTTTTATTCTTATTCTCAATTACTTTGCCAAAGGCTTCTATTGGATATAAATTCCTTCCATAAAATCCCACTGCCTTTCTCCCTGTAGGTAATTGGATCTGATGCTGATGGTGCCACCTCAGGCTCCTGAATCCTGCTAAGAAATGCTTTTCATAGTAATGCAGACATCGAAAATTATTTCAACAAATAACAGATACCGAACAACAAATAACTGGTAAAACTGAGTGGGTGCAACCTCCTTAGCTGCTTCTGATTTACTCTCTCACAACTCAACTGTGGGCAAGTGACCTGACTCCGGTGGTCTCCGTTCTCTCACCTATAAAGAGAGAAAGTTCATGCCAATCTCAAATGTCGTTGGGAAGACCAAGAATGAAATTGTGAGCATAACCAGCACAGTGCCTGGCACGGAGAAGAGGAAAGCTTCCTGGTGTGCTTCTTCCAGCCGATGGACCCAAAGGAGGCACAGAAATCCTGCCCCAGAACAACAGAGACCTGGGTATTTTCATGGTCATGTCAAACAGACTCGCTGTGCTTTGCACGAAGAGATGCGGGTCACCTTGGAAAAGCCCCGATTGAAGTGATACATAGTGATAGGAATGGGTCTAGCTTCTAGCTATTTGTTTAAGCCTTGACCTAATCTAAATGAATGTATGCTATTCTTCCATGCACACCATTTAATCTCTGACAGGGGGTACACCAAGCCATTCACTGCAGCTCCACACTGTCTCCTCCACAGAACTACCCAGAAGAGGACAGATGGATGGATGGATGGATGGATGGATGGATGGATGGATGGATGGATGGATGGAGGGATGGATGGAGGGAGGGATGGATNGGGATGGAGGGAGGGATGGAGGGATGGGTGGAGGGAGGGATGGATGGAGGGATGGATGAGGGAGGGAGGAATGGATGGATGGATGGATAGATGGAGAGATAGAATGAAAAACTTAACACAGAGTGGTGATTCATATCAAGAACATCTGGGTAACTCTCCTTATTTATTAGAAATGATCCCATTTCACAGAAGATGATAACTATTACTTACTGACCACTTGCTATGTTCTAGTTCTATGTTCTAATTGTGCTGGAAACTGTGCCAAGTGCATTATATATGTGTATAAACATCTCATTTCATCTTTAAAATAGCACTGTCATTCCCATCTTAGAGATGCAAAACCTGAGACTCAGGAACACTGAGCTCCTTGTCTGTGGTCAGGTTGCTAACCGGCACCATGCTAGGATTTGCACCTGACTCAGCCTGCTCTTCCCCGCTCACCATGCTCGTCTTCGTGGTCTTAACCTCTACACCTCAGCTACACTATTGTTTATACCGTATGGTGCATCTTACGGTGGTCCTTTTTATTTTGGGTTGCCATGTCCCAAGCATTTATACTGGGACGTGACCATCTGGAAAACATCAGAATCATACGGCCTCAGTTTCGGATGAGGCGTGCAGCCGTGGGAAAGCCAGGCCAAAGGCGATCAGGCAGATCCCTGTGAGATGCATACACAGGTGTCCTCCGCTTTTCCAAAGTTCGCTTTATGACACTTTGCTTTTACGACAGACCTACATTATTAGTTCCTGTTGTTAACTGAAAGAAATCTAAAGAGGATTTTTACTTTATGCAAAAAGGTGAAAACTGAAAATAGTGTTCAGTGTTTGCTTGCAGGGGGCCATTAGAGGCAGCTGCACCCGGGCATCTAAGAGTGGCCCCCCAAGCTCCTTCCCTGGGAACCGCACCAAGCATCTCAGCAGCAAGCCGCCACGGCTTTGAACTGTGAGCATCTGTGCTTTACCTCCATTTATTATGTGCATCCGTTAGCAGGATGTGTCCATTGAGGCTTAGGAAAGGTCTCATAGGAATGCTCTTTCAGAGAGTGGGGGAAACTGGTAAAGACTAAGGACAGGGAGTCCTCATCAACCCAGGATTCAGTCCAAGCTGGCTAATAGTAGAGTGGCAGGGAGGGTGACATTTCACTTCAGCACTTCCAAGTCAACAACATGAGACTCAATCAGCAAGACAACAACAGAGTATTTCAAAGAAAGATAGTCATGATGGGAAAGTCAAGTCCAAAGGCCTTGACTGAGATCATGGGGAAGTAGTAAAATCCTACCACCCCAGGCACCAGGACTGATGACCAGTTTACAAACATTTAGTTTTCAAGAAGCCAGAGCAATGGTTACTGTGGCAGAGAAAAGTTCTGTAGGGTTTTCATTATTGTTTGGGTGAACGTTAACTGCCTGCACAGGGAACGCCAATGGGAGTAAAAGGTATAGCAATGGCAATCTAGTGGGGGTT